AGATAACGGCTAATATTTTAAACCACGCAGACAGATATTGACTATTAGCTTAAAAACCATGATTTTGCAATGTCGATGGAAACTTGATATTCTGCTTGTCAAATATATGGAATTGTTTTTTTTTTTCCATTATTCATGTAGAATTTTTATTCTCTAGGAATTAATTGCAGGCAGAGTCGTTTGTGGGTTGGGTAATGGATTTGGATATGTATCGGCTACTATGTACGTCGGTGAAATTTCGCCGGCTGATACAAGAGGGATATTAACGTCCACGTTAACTCTAGCTGCGAAATTTGGTCTGTTCTTCGAGTGGGCAGTAGGGCCATTTCTCTCTGTACGAGATCTTGCGCTCGTGTCATCGTCGATACCGATTCTCTTCTTTGTTTCATTAATATCGTTACCGGAATCACCGTATCATCTGATGCGTCGTGGCAGAAATCAGGATGCGGTGACGTCTCTTATGCAATTAAGAGGAGCCACAGATGTTTCCAAAGAAATGGAAATGATCGAAAAGTCGATAAAGTACGACCTGGCGAATGACACTGGATTATGGGAATTAATCAGCGTCCCAGGAAATCGAAAGTGCGTTCTTATTTCATGAACTTTCAGGGGGAACTTCCGGGATCGCGAATCTTTTGCGAGATCTAGTATCAACGGATATTAACTTCACTTGCTTTGTGTTTTGCAGAGCGTTGATAGTCGTGTTGGGTCTGTTTATTATGCAACAATGGAGTGGAAGCTTGGCAATACTCTCGTACGCTGAATTAATTTTCAATGAGACGAAAAACCAGCTTGAAGGTAAATACTTGACCATGATATTGGGTGGTGTGCAAGTGATATGCGCTACGATCAACGCGTCTATAGTGGATCGGTACAGCAGAAGGACTTTGCTTCTAATTTCTGCGTCCGGCGTTTCCATTTCCACCTGCCTCATTGCTTTATTCTTTTTCCTTCAATACATCGAAGTGGACGTTAGTGAGATCGCCTGGTTGCCAGCCGCTGGATCGATACTCTACATCGTCACGTACGCTTTCGGCCTGGCCGCACTTCCGTTTACCATGATGAGCGAGATTTTCCCAACGAATGTTAAAGCGGTGGGCAGCATGATTGGAATGCTGTGCTGCAATTCCTCTGCTTTTGCCGTCGCTCTCTCTTACCAAAGTATCGCGGAACAATGCGGCATATACGCTGCGTTCTGGTTCTTTTCTTTAATCGCTGCTTTCGGCGTCGTTTTCACATATTATTTCGTGCCGGAAACAAAGAAGAAAACGTTGCAAGAAATACAAGAGCAGTTGCATGGATATAAATTGTAATAAAGTTTGTAAATATTCTTCTCCATTGTATGTTGGAATTATTGTTGAAATACATGTGCAGTTAGGATGAAGAAAAAATCGAAGAAAGATTAATCACGCATTTTAATAGTAAGAAGAATAATGTTATCACGAAGGAATTACATTAATAGAAGTTCCAGATTTATTCCAGCGAATGTACTTGCATCCAATTTGGGCATTTGTCTTGGATGACAGAAACTTTGGATAATTTGTCGCCAGCAATGATTGCCAATGTAACGGCTAATCTGGATCATCAATGCCACAAATTGGAGATTTAATTGATGGATTCGTAGTACTTCTCGTGGGAAGCCACGTAGGTAGGAAATCCATGTTTGTCTGTTCGATAGTTTCTCTTTGATAGGATGCTGCCTCTCCTTTATGACACAACTCTGGTATAATTGTTAAACGAAATATCTTATCGTTGAACCCGTAATAACTGTTTTCTCAAATTAAAATATCTTTTTCATATTTTACTGGTAAATTCAAATAAACAATTTTATTAGTAATCTTCGATATTTATCTCGACTTGTAATTCTACTATTTTTTGCAAAATATCACACTAGAACAGAATATTTTTCTTTCTATCCTTTTGTTTTTCATTTATAAGCAGTTTATATAATGAGCAACAGTCGTGAGTGCAGAAATATGTTCTCCATTAATACATATCTCTCCCAGGTAATATTTGATGAATTATCTAGTTGCATAGTTACCTATAGTTAGCATATAGTTACTTACAATCAGGCTTTTTCGATAAAATTATGGTACTTTCGTGTCGTTAAAAAAAACTCAACTACTCTTTCCAATCATATTAGTCATTCTTCCCGATATATATAATGGTACTTTTATCAGAAAAGCCTTTCATGATATTTTTAATTAGTTAAGTATATTCACTACAGTTCTGCTCGACGTTTGCAACTTTACTTTTACGAATATTTTTTTAAAATTTCAGATCGTAACATAAAGGGGAACCATTATACTCTTGTTTCACCGTGTAGTGCAACGTTGCACGTTTGAAACACGTCTCGCATACACGGCAGAAACAACCACTTTGTTCCTCTGCAATTAAATTTCAACGTATATGCAACTTCTGTTTCAGTTTCCAGACTTTAATACAGTCTATTGAAAATTTTACGAACATTGTTCGCAAACATATATATGGA